AGACATGGAAATTTTGTGTTGTCAGTTTATGGTTTCCAGAAAGATAAAGAGTTGGTCAGGATTTCTTAAATGTACTTTCCTCTAGATTACTATGAGACCATTTTGGGCGGGGGTAGATGTGAAAGGTTAGAAAACAGGAAAGAGAAGGTAAGCTTGTAAGTTAAGAATAAATAAGTTCTTCTATGTTACATTTTGGTAATATTCTGATTAAATAGAATTTGATCAATCTTTCTAAAGGTATTTTTGGCTGAAGAAACACTAGTGTTTAGATGCTTTAGGTAAGTAAGTGACTGTGCTTTTACTTAAATAATTGATCAAAATATTAATATAGTGCTCATTTAAATTTTAAATACAAGCTGGTCATGTAGAAGCAATACCAAGGCTTTCTTTTCCAGGAGAATGGAAGCAGTCTGCTTTGAGGTGTCTGAGAGAACTAGCAGCTCCTATACTATTGCCTGCTGTGATTTACAGATTCGTACATTTTACCTAGGAGTACAAGAAGCTAGATTTACTGACACAATGGTTCTTCATGCCTGTTTTTACGTTGCCTGAGATATAGTTGCTGCTATCTTTAACCCCTCTTCCTTCTTCCAATGGGAATTTGATTCTGATGTCTTTGTTCCTATCATGTCCTTATATTTTATAAATCGTGAATTTTGTGTTAATTTTTAAAAATATTCTGGTTTATGATTCTGTTTCCCTTCTGTACTTTAATCAGTAGAAGCTTACCAGTTGAAATGCAGGCACTTGCTGAGAGTTTCACGATACCTTCTCTAAATGGGCCTATTTTTCTGAAAAAGTCCTTTTCATTCTAGCACTTTGTCATGCTATTTTAGGCAGTTTTGTGTCAATAGACAGTAAAACCTTGAACTGCATTAACAATATTGATGTAGTCTTTTATTTAAGAGTCAGATCAATCTCATCAGAACGACACAAGAGTCACTCGCGTATTAGGAACTTTAATAAAATAAATCAGAAACAGAATAAAAGGAGGACCAGTTTGCAGCACCCTGGCTTTCCTGCAGGGAAGTGATGAAGTGTCTTATAACAAAGTTGGTATAAAAAGGCAGGTTATTTTGGCAGTTTTTTAATTATTATTAGGTTCAGACTATGCTATGTAGTGTAGATTTTGAATACCAGTCAATAATGATAAAATCTTGCAAGGTCTTGTTATCAATTTCTGAATAAAAGAACAAGTCTCATCTTCCACCATTATTTTAGGAAGTACATGATATAAACTGTCTCCTCTTGGGATTTTTTGATATTTAAAGTAGTGGTAAAATTGTGTGCTGAAGTTACTTTTGAGGCCAACAAAGGGTGCTAATCTAATATACCAGAAATGCGCGGAAGGAGAAAGCAATGACCAGCTTTGGTTTAAGGCTCATTTTGGTCTAAAAGTAAAGAATATATCAGAGAAAACTTAATGTGAAGAAAAAGATCTCATTACCTGTCAGTTTTGTGTGGGTGTGTTAATCACCTTGACAACTAAGCATCATCATGAAATCCCAGGTGTGGGCATGGGTTATGCAGAATTATAATTAATTTGTATGTGTAGAATTGTAATTAATTTGTATGTGCAAAGTGGTTACTCAGAGCTACTACCAATTGCAGTGATACAGGTGTCATATAGGGGTTATAATGAAAGTATAATTTCGTAAATGAGTACACCTCTGAGGGATTATTAGTGTAGACATTGATGGTTGCAGAGAAGATGGCATCAGTACTTTATCATGGATATAAGTGTCAAGAGTTCTATTCAGTACAGTTCAGGGTAAAATAAACTGTGTCCAATGTTTGCTATTGGGTTGGGTTGTTTTTGTTTTTGTTTTTTTTAAAGTTTTTTATTAGGCTTCCTGGGCTTTTTATTAAAAGAAATTAAAAAGACAAAGCAGCATCGTTCCAAAAAATGATGTAATTGATGAAAAACTGGTATCCTTAACCTATTAGGATTTCATTAAATGTTCAGAATATCTCAGAATTTAAGGCAAATTTGAAGCCCTCCAGGTGACCTCAGATAGAAAAACAATCAGTATTAAGGTGTCATGCACATAACACGGTAGTATCTTTGAATCAGTACCCCAAAAGTATATCAATGAATCAGGTACACCAAAAGAAAAACCGCATACATAGAAAAACATACATTCCAGAACTGAGCCTTGTGGGAGTCTCCAAACATTTGAATCTGATTGGAAGAAAACCCACACAAAATAATAAAGTGGGAGTCATTTTCTGATCTTCTCCAGAATCCTGAAGTCTGCTTCATTTTACCATCAGGGATAGAGAAGAAAAGCTTTTAAGTCAGCCAGCATCAGATTGATTCATAAAGCAAACAGGAAAAGTATTATGAGGCAAGGCTTCATGCTATGATAGACATCTAGGAATACTCATCTTTGGCAGTCTATTCATCTTTGGCTAAGGGGGTGGAAACTCTGGTTTGTCTCCCTGGGTAATGTGCGGAATCCTGTTTATACTCCAACTCAGTTTATGTGGCCTTGGGGAGCAAAGTCTGGTCTTAGAATTAGCTGTAATTTTTGCTGATCAGATAGTGGTATGACTGGCCAACTATTTTTCCACGACTTTCGTAGGAGAACTATAGGACAAATCTATGACATACTCTTATTTTTTAAAACATTTGTGTAGTGAAGGTACTTGTTTAATCTGAGACCAACAGCTGGTGGTGATCGAGAGTTTTCCTGTATAGGTGATTTGCAAAGATTTCTTTCTTTTCATAATGTGAAGAATTAGTTGTAAATAAAAAAACAACAAGGAAAAAGGACCATTCGGATATACTTTTTCAGAAATACCAAGTGCAAAATTAAAAATTCACTGTTGTCATAAATATACATGAATATATCTGCAACGTATTTAATGTAATAAAAAAGCATGCAGACCTACTTAACTTTAGGTATGCATTCAAACACATGTGCCTAATCTAAGTCTTGCAGGCAGTGCTGTGGTTTATCAAGATATCAATAGGCTATTTCAGGTCAGAATCTAATTTAACACTTTATCTAACTGTTATGTTTTAGTGCATCTCTTCTATGGAAGCAACAGAGTGGGCAAAATAGAATAGACAAGGCAGAGCATATCCAACTCTTTCTTCTTTATATTGCCATTGATTAAGGTATCATTGTAGTTATGGTACAAATAGGGAATGAAAAACTGCCCGTGCCCCCAGATGTTTGCAGGCTAAGATCGAGAACAAACAGAGGAGTCAGAAAAATGAGATCAAACTGGTGTGATCTAAATGGTCTTAATTTACCAGCCATTTGACTGTAACCTGGCTGCTTAACTGTAATTCTACAGATTGTAAGTATTGATCTATTTCTGTATACATAAAATTTTCTGTTACCTCTGGACAGCTTTTTTTATTTTAACCAAAAATGCATGACAAACCTGACAATTTCAGGATGGGTGTCTTGATATTATGGCCTGTTGTATACTACATTTCAAGTTAAGTAATCTATGTTCAGTTAAACGGTGTACATATGTCTAACTTGTCCTTTAAGTTACTTTACTATATTAAGCCATACGATTTTGGAATGTATTTTATAAAGATGTTTATTATCAGTAGACTTTAGTTTAACAACAGCTATAGTTTTTAAAGAGTGGTTGTTTCTCAAAGTCATTGATAAGCAATATGCTTGTTGCTGAACAGAACAAGAGACTGATAGTTTGTGATACAAAAATTATGACTTTTAAGCTTGTGGGTTGTTAGGTAGGTGAAACCCAGAAGTGTGCTAGTATAGGCTGAGGGGGGGCAGGATAATAAATGTGCACAATCCATAGCTGTTTTTGATTGTTAGTCAAGTTGTTCATTGTTTACTTCACTTTAGAAAAGAGGATTTGAGAGGTAGGAATAAAGATAATTAGGACCTACAGTGTTATGGGTTCTTGATGACCCGAGCCCTCTCCCCCTCCCAAATTTACAAGGATGAGCCAGGAGAGGCATAGTTTGGAAGATACAATAGCTCTGGAATCAGGTAATGTCTTTGTGGTGAATGAACCAAGCTTCTCAGCCTACCAGGCATAAATGTATTTTTCATGGTTATAAAGTTAGTTTGATTGTGTATGTGGAGCACTGGGGTGGAAAGAACAGGGAGAGAAAGACATCTACCATGGCAGTCCTGTCCTTCAGAGGAAAAGGGCACTAAAGGACTAGAAACAGAACTATATCTTTCCTATTTCAGTTTTGTTTTCTAATAAACTGCTCAGATGGTTTGTGGGAGGGTTATAAGCATCATCAAATTCTTAAATGATGATGTTTCCTTACATCTTTACATTGTTCTTTGTAGATATGTGAGTTTTTTTTATTGAGATATTTCATACCAACATATAACTTCTGTATTTTATAAGAGACCAAGTCCTGCCCTCTTTATCTCTTTTTTTAAAGACCAGTCGACACTAATTCTGCTAATTGTATGCCTTAACTACTGCGATCTATTTTTCTTTTACCTGTGGATTAAGATGCATAAAAAAAGTATGAAAATGTGAAAACTGAGATGTAATTGCTACTGTAGAGGGTGTGCATCAACCCACTATATAATTATTATCCTTAAAATGTCAAATTTAAATATAATGTCTTTAAATTGCTTATTTCAGATATTAGAAGAAAAACTAAGAAGAAACTACAGTAAAGATTTTAAATGACTTAACAGTGTTTGAATTAGTAACACAACTGAATTAATTCCGTTTTGATGTTTAGGCAGAAGCAGCAGCATTGTATTTAGACTAAGAAATTACTTGCTGGCTTTGTCACTGTTGACATTAATTATTGATAGGGGTTTGAGAAATAGCGCATGTGCCATCAGAGTTGACTGTAATATAAGATAGGTACTGCAGTGATGCTAGAGGGATTATAGAGAGTGAAGCACCTGTAGCATCTGTAGTTACATGCTTCTAATCATCAGACTTTTATTTTGTTCTAATAAATTCATATGAGTGATTAAAATAATGGAAAGATGAGTCGTCAGGCTTATTTCTATCGTGTCCCTCCACAGGAATTACATAGAAGAACTCAACTTCAGCCCGAGCCAGCAAAGACGAAGGCTCTTCAAACAGTTATTGAAATGAAGGTACGGTCTTTGCATGTTTCCCCATATGTTATTTTTGTAGCTTGAGTTCATGTACTGGATCTGGTTGGGATGGAGTTAATTTTCCTTATAGCAGCCTGTATGGTGCTATGTTTGAATTTGGGACCAAACCAGTGTTGATAACACACTGATGTTTTAGCTGTTGCTGAACAGGCTTACAGAGAGTGTAAGCTTTCTTAGTTTTTCACTCTGCTCCCCCCCAGCAAGTAGTTTGAGGGTGGACAAGAGGCTGGGAGGGAATGCAGGCAAGAAAGCTGACCTGAATTGACCAAAGGGATATTCCATACCATAGTATGTCACTCTCAGCAGTAAAGTGAGGGGAGGACATTCAGAGTTACAGCATTTGTTTTCTCCAAGTAACTGTATGCATAATGAAGCCCTGCTTTCCTGGAAATAGCTAAGCATCTACTTGCTGATGGGAAGTAATGAATGAATTCCATAACTTGCCTTGCTTGCATGCACAGCTTTGCTTTACCTATTAAATTGGCTTTATCTTGACCCATGAGTTTTCTCACTTCTGCTCTTCTGATTGTCTCCCCCAATGCACTGAGGGGCAGTGAATGAGCAGCTGTGTGAAACTTACCTGCCTACCAGTGTTAACCCACAACCATTTATAACTTTTTCTATTAAGTCATTAAATGCTTCATTTGCTTTTTCTTTTTGCTTCTCAACTTATTTTGCTGTAAAGCTAGGAATAAGTAGTATTTCTTTCTACCAGACTGTTTTCTTAATAAGACTTGATTTTAAAAGTCAAGTGCAGCATTGCTGAATAATGACAACCGAATATTGCTTTTAAAAAGAATCAGGGGCAAAAAAAAGTTTCAGGTGAGCCAAAGTAGATGGAATAAAGAGACAAACAGAAGCAAACACAAACAGTCCAAGGCTGATGTAAAATGTTTTTCTTCTTGCTCTTTAGAAACAATACTTCTATTGGTGGTTATTTGGCCATCATTTTACATCTAACCTAAGGAAAATATTCATAGTATCAGTAGAGTGATATGACAAAATGTCCTGTCTTAGTCCTGAATATAGTTTCTTCTATTTGATATATAATATTACTAAAGTGCTGTGGTTTTTTTCCCCACAATAACAGAAGATAAAAATAATAATGTAAAATGTGAAAACTGGTATTTTCACAAATTATACGAGTCTGGAATATACATGTTTAAGACAAATAACATGAGACTTGAGATAATTTGTGATTTGGCAGTGCTGCCTGAAATATATTAATGATGATCTTTCATTTCAGTCTTGAAAGGAAGTGCAAATTAAAGGCCTCATTTTGCCAGTGACTTCTGTTATGAGCAAATGAGTTCAGCATGTCTGAACATTGTGGTAAATACGTAGTTACAACAACAGCAGGATTTAATAACTAGAGTATCTGACTTTTAATAGATAATAATTAGCTTGGATTATATGAGTAACAAAGAAGGTTCATTGATTTCAGTATTCCATCTTCTGATATGTATTTGCCTTGGACCTTTCTGGTTTGTTCTAGTTCAGAAGTCTAAGAAATCTAAAACGTGCTTTTGCAGTAACGTGTTACTCCAAGTATATGGGAAAGTAGGATACTGGCTGAGAAACTTGTTTCTTTCTATTAATATTAATAATTACAAACTTACAAGTTTTGGGATATGGAGATAGTGTGTGTGATAAAATAATTTATGGTCTTCCTTGTGGGTTATTAACAAAGTAAGGGTTATACTGCAGAGTAATTTGCAAATCCTCTTCCTGTACCAAAACTCTTTGAAAAGAATGAGGGCTGGGGGGGGGGAACGACATGACACACCCGACGGCTGTAGTTGCAACCACTCTGACTCTGTCTGTCCCTGAAGACAGTAAAGTCTTTTCTGTTTGTCTCCCAGGAGAGTTGGGAGTGGAGCAACCCTTCACTTTTAAAAAACCTGATCTTTGTAATGAGGGCTTTCATTTGTCACAGGAGACGCTGTATCCGTGTTGCTGGAGCATTCTGATGTGGAGCTGCCTTTTGGTGCTGAGGCACACAGTATTTTCTTTGCCTATGAACACACGCTCCCATGGGGTTGCCCTGTCTAAAATAGGTCTAATATTGAAAAGAAAAAGGGAAAAATGTAAGATGTTGAAATCCATATGATTAAACAGCAGTTTTCATTACAAGTTCCAGCTTTGGAATCTTTTCAAGTAAATTTAAATTGTCTTTATCCAGACAGCATTTGTTTTGAAAAAAATGTGGAACATTTGTTTTGAATGATCAAGCATTGAAGCAATAATTTCCCTACAGTGTTGAGGGTAGAAGAAGGGAGAAGATTACCCTCTAATATGGCAGTCTGAGGCCATACACTCCCCCATGCAGAGGCTCCAAGCCATATAACTTTTCTCTTTACTGCACTCAACCCCTTCCACCCTCTTGCCACATTAGCTTTTCTTTAAGTCTCTTCCCTGGCTCCCCCAGGCTCTGCGAGGAGGCGGCTTTCCCTCCTTCACAGATCTCTCTATTCTTTCCTGTGGTTTTCTTATGTCCCTTGCAGCTGCTGAATGCTTTCTGTCCCTTTTCCCAGTGAGTCCTCCCTTTCATCCGATGAAGTATACCCATTTCTTCTATCTACCATCTCATATGTATTTTTTTTCTTTTTGTCCTAAACAGCTTTTCTTTTGCCCTACCTTTCCTGTCCTGTCGTGCTCTTCAGCTGTCTCTAAAAACTTTGCAAGTAGTTGCGTTTTCTTATAGCAATTGTATTTTCTGCATAACTGGTCTCCTTGACCAGTCTCTATCTTCTGGATGGGGCTTTGAGCTACCTGGTCTAGTGAAAGATGTCCCTGCCCATGGCAAGGGGGTTGGACTATATGATCTTTAAAGGTTGCTTTTAACCCAAACTATCCTATGATTCTGTGATCTTGTTCAGGCGATTTTGGGTTTCAACCAATGATACTGCTTGAGAGAGAAAATCAAAAACGAATTGCCTACAGAAACATCATAAAGCTCATCCTAAGTGTAGGGTATTGACTATCCTGAAATGTATATAGTCTAGCAAAAGAATTAAGTCTTTAAAAATGATAAGCTGTAAATTAAGTGAAAATTTTTGTGGTTTACTTACTTGCAGAAAAAGCCGTCTTTATTTATTGATCCAGCTTTAGTATTTCAGGTATGGGTTTGGTTCTCAAAAAGTGTATGTGTGTTTGCAGTGCAACATACTCTTATTGTTAAGATTGCATGAACTTTCACTTTCCCTTGTCTTCAAAAAGAAACCTGAATATTCTCTGTATTACATTGACAAAGTTTAAAAAAAGTATATTTTAAGTGTGGTCATGTATGGTCTGTTGATAGCATGCGTGCATATTTGCATTCAAATGCAATTTTTATTGAATGTGAAGTTTAAAATATTTGCTTCTGATTGCTTTTTGAATTCCCTACAAGCAAGGTTTTACACACAGAGTTTGAATTTATCAGGTATTTGAAATAATGAAGAGTAGCATTTCACTAATTTTCATTTCACAATAAGACAGACTGGAAAGCTGTATTTTTTACAAATGTTTTGCCCTCATTGTGGAAACTCATTTGGAGAGTTACTCTCCTTTCCATTGTGGAATATTATTCAGGACATATACTAGTTTTTTCATTTTCCAAAAGAGTTAGATTTCTGGTAGGTCCAGCGTAGAAATAGCCCTAACCTCTCTCAGAATATCTGCAACACTGTTCTAATAAAGGAGACGAGGAAGAAGTATTGGTTACTTCCGGCAAGAGGGGATAGATTAGGGTGAGTACCCTGACCTATATCACAAATCCTGCTGTATAATCTTACGTCTTTTAACAGATTTTGAGGGCCTGACTGGAAAAAGTCTGCAAAAATCTTGCATTGTTGTAGAACTCAGAAGATGTTTATCAGTACCAGTTAATAATAAGCTGCTTCCTTAATATTAGTGCAAAGGAATCTTCTTTGTGATTCAACACAGACCCACATAGTTTTTTAAAATGCTGCTAATGTGGATAAGTCTTAGAGGTTTGAAGGAAATACTGCATCTGTTCCTCTTTCAGTTTCTGTAAGATTGCCAGACCCTGTGCCACAACAAGAGCTGGTTGAAAATTTTCCAATTGAAGTTTTCTGTGGGAAAATGCTGATTCAGCTGAATCAGAAGATTTTATAGGAATGTGCCTATTCGGTCAAAACTTTTAGTGAAAGCAAAGCTATCTAACTTTCTATCAAATCCTGTGAGTCAACCCAACTCCCTTGTGACAGTACCCACTGGGAGCTCCAGGCTCTCTGTATTATCTTTGACTTAAAAGATTCCTCACTTTCTAGAAGTTGTTCAGACAGGAGAACTTTCAGGTTTCCTGGGCAAGCCTGAAATATGCCTGTCTGGTGTATTTGCAGATTCGTCAATCCTGTATTGTTCAGACTTAAGGGGACAGTACCTTTGACTCCTTGAATAGTCAAAGGTGATGTCTGGCTTCTCTTCTGTGTCACTGACATTTTTGATAAATTATTCTGAAACATTTTAGTCTTCAAAATTTGTGAAATTACTGGGTCCTGTTCATAGAAAAAGTTAATACAAAAATGACAGTGACAATTTTTCTAGAGATAGGAAATCTAGTTTTTATACATCTGTAGTTACAGTATGCAGATACTGAGTAAAACCAAACTTTTCCTTAGGGAGTTCAAACTTGCTGTGATAACATAGAAGTACAGAAAATGCTTCCCGAAAGTTATGTTAGATACTTCTCATAAAGCTTAAATTTTATTTATTTTGTGATGTATAAACTTTCTAAAAAGTGTAACAGGCTGTGGTATAAATTATTTTTGCCACGTTATATTTGCAAACATGTAAAATGCAAATGAAAAAAGCTAGACTCAGCTGGAGAGATGTGATGAGGAGTACTCCCAGATGAAATGTCATAAAAGGTCATGTAAGTATTAATATAGTTCAATGCAAAAATAATTCTAAAGTGCACTGAAATTTAGGATTTGCTTTTATTTTCCATAATAGGAGTAGGAAATTTCTAAAAT